CTAAGGGTTTCGGCTGGAGCTCTGCAACAGGGTAGGAGTCCCGCGAACATGGTTTCTTTGCGCTGTCTTTACTGGGCGTTGCTGATCGTGTGCGTTTACGCTTCTGATATCACCCGCTTGAGCTTTTTCTGGCTGCGCCGGTCCCAATTCCGGCGGCTGAGCAAGATGGATGGGCTTTATTCTGATAACAATGGCTCAGTAAACCCGAGGGTTGGGTCTCATTCCACACTGGACCCGGGAGTCATCACATCAGTGGTGGCGAAGAACAATGGGGGACAAGCTAGCAATGCTACTCCATATAGCGAGACACGCAAACGTGCATTTCGTCGCGCGAGGCGACGAGCAGAGGCTAAGGGCGGAACGATGTACAGGGGAAGATGGTTTTCCGCTGGTGAGCTGGGTGTGAATGTCTCCAGGACCACCTTGGACTCCACGACAAATTTTACAGGCACCATCAGGACCACAGCTTGCGGAGGCATCAGACGGCGCCTGCGAGTGCGCAGCTTCAACACAGGCGGGGTTACTTCAGAAGTATACGACCATATACAGCAATGGCTTATACACAGATGTCAGGACGACATAGTGCTTTTGCAAGAAACCCATTGGGGTCTGGGCAGAACCGACAACACCTGGTCTCTGCCGGGATGGACGCTATACTGCACGGCTGACCCCCAACAACGCTTTAGCGGAGTCTGTATTCTTGTTTCGGAGAGGGTTGCCAAGCCGTCGAGGATCAGCTTTAACGCTTGCCTGCCGGGCCGCCTGCTACATGTGCGTTGTCAGGGAGAACGGGAGGTGATTGACATCATTGCAGGCTACCAGTGGGTTTTCCAGCCTGGCAAAGCTGAGCAAACGACAGAGAGCCGGACCCTATTCTGGAACAAGCTGAGCTCGCTGCTGCAGAGTCTGCCTCGAAGGAACTTAGTGATTTTGGGCGCAGACTTTAACACGCGTTGCGCTCCTCTACCTGGACACATAGGCAGGGGAGTTCTGAAAAGGGGGCAAGCTAGGGATGCTGAATTTGAAGCGCTTATACAAAGTAACGACATGGTCCTTCTCAACACCTGGTCCAGCTCTAGTCCTAGGGTCTGCACTACGTTCGAAAACGGCGATGTAAGAAGCCAGATTGACTTTCTTGCGATGCGACGGCCCACTGCTGACGCCCGAGCCAGACTGGCCCGACCTGTTGCATTTGACTTTGCCTCATGGAGGCGGGGGCCCAAGCACCACGCAGTTGTTGCGTCCATTCCATGGTGCGCAGGCTGGGTCTTTGGCAAGCGGCGTAGTGAGCCTTTGAGCTTTTCTTTGAAGTGCCTGCGTGGCTCCATACAACAGATGGACGAGCGTGCCCAAAGACTTCGTGTTGCAACGGTTGAGGTTCTTAGACAGGCGGGATCTGACGCTACGGTTGCTAGTATCAACAAGCAAGTCCTGGCATTCTGCTCGCATCTCTATCCCCGGACTGGTTACATTCCCATCACTAAGCCCAGTATGAGCCAGAGTGTTGTAGGCGCGGTTGCTGAGCTCTGGGCACGACAGGATGCCATCCAACAGGCACCGCCCGCGGTTGGTATTCGCTCGGCCATGGCCGCGCTTCAGCGCACAATGGCGTTCAAGCAAGCCAGTAGGAAACTTAGGCAGGCTAGTAGAGCGGCTAGGCGGGACTGGTTTGAGGCTAGGATAAGGGAAGCGGAGCAGGCTGCCGAACGACATGATATAGGCGGTGTCTATCGTGTTCTGAACTTGCTTGCACCCAAGCGTAGACGCGAGCAGGTCCGCATCAAAGGCCCGGCGGGGGAACTGCTAGGACCCAAAGCGGAGTTTGAGGAAATCTTTGCTTACTACCAGAAGGTCTTTAGCAGGGACGTGCCATTCGATTTACCCAAGGCTCCGGTTGACGCTGTTAGTGAGGATGATGTTCTGGAGGCCATTGGAATGCTCAAAGGGGGAAAGGCGGTTCCACCTAGCAGTGTGCCTACGGAAATTTGGCTGCTCTGCCCGGCGGAGTATGCTGCATTCCTAACGCCTCGCCTCAATCCCGGGGAGGATGGCACTGCTAACTACCCACCCGAGGCCAGCAATTGTACTCTCGCTTTGCTGCCTAAACCCAACAAGACTAGCAGACGTCCTGCAGATCTTCGGCCCCTCGGACTTCAAGATGCTAGCTCTAAGGTGCTGGCGCATGCCATCAGAGCTAAGATTCAGGAACACACACTGGAATTTCTGCAGTCCAAGCCGCAGTATGCATATACTCCGCAACGAGCGATCGATGAGGCGATAGGTCGCGTCTCTCGGCACTGCCGTGCTGTGCGTGAGCGACTTCAGGCCTCAGTGGTGTCGGTTCATGCTAGGCGTGCAGGCCAGAAGCCACCCAGCTGTCAGGGGGGAGCTATGTTAAGCATAGACCTCAGCAGAGCGTTTGATAGTATTCCTAGGGAAGCTTTGCAGCGCGCGCTTTGCCACGCGGGAGTGCCAGAACCGTTGCAGCAGGCTGTATTGCAGCTGCATGAGCGCTGCCTATACAGAGTCCGCCATAAGGGATATAGCCAGTCCTTTAACATGCGCATCGGAATTAGACAAGGCTGTGTTTTGAGCCCATACCTGTATGCTCTCTTCACATGCATCATTTTCGATGAAATCGCGCGGCGTACGGACTCTGCTTGGGCCGCGACGGCGCTCACTCTTTTCGCCGATGATAGCCATGTTGCATGGACTATCGATTCGGTAGAGGACCTGCGCTTCCTTATGCATAGCATCCAGGTCACCTTTCAGGTTTTCAAAGAGTTCGGGATGGTAGTGCATCCTGGGAAATCACAGCTGGTGATTAAGCTGAGAGGAAGCGCAGCGACTCGTTGGCTGCGCAAGCACACCCACCGCACAGAGCAGGGAAGGCTTATTGAGGTTGGTGAACCGCACAGGTCAATAAGGTTACCTCGGGTTCATAGTATGCAGTATTTGGGTATTGTTGCCTCTTACTCTAGCTTCGAGCTTCAAACCTGTGCTCATCGCATCAAGGCCGCTACCATCAACAAACATCGATTGACCAGGGTCCTGCATAATCGGCAGCTCACCATCCTGCAACGGGCTAGGGTCTATGNNNTATGGCCAGCACGCAACTGGTGCAACGTCTGCTGTGTTGCACAAGCTTGAGCAATTTGACTCAAGGGCGCTCCGTGCGATTGCCCGCTCGCCAGCACACATCACCAAGGAGAAAACGGTTGATGTTAGGGCTAGGCTTCGGGTTGATCCTCCCCATTGCGTGCTGTGTAAAACCCTGGAACGTAGAGTGCAGAAGGTGGCATCAGCGGACAGTCGGGAGTGGTTTATGCAACAGCTCCAGGAGATACGTGCGTTGTGCCCCGACACAACTGGCAAGGGCACGGGAGCCCCGTACACAGGACAGGATGCCTCACAAATGGCCCAGCTCAGACCTGTCCCTTGCCCAGACTGTGGATTGTACTTTCCTACTCTTAGGCACATGCGCTCGCATCAGGCTAGGCAGCATCAGCATGTAGGCCTCAATTCCAGACGGCAACCTGGTGTTCTGTGTGCGGCTGCTTACGCTGCTGGATCAGTCGGGGGCATGCCGCAGTGCGCTAAGTGTGGTAAGATCTTTACTAGGGTTGAGGGTCTCAAGAAGCATATTAACTCTGGCTGTGTTGTTGCCACTGCTGGCACTGATGATGCGGTGGCGGTCACCGCTGGTGAGGATCAGGTCCCTTCCCAGCGGGCAGGGTCGCCTAGGGGCTGGGCCCTGCAGACCGTCACTGATAAGCATGTCGTGCCTCAAAGCCCGCTGTTTGAAAGCTCCGATTTTCGCTGCCTAGTGTTGCGTGACTGGAGGAAGGCTGCATCAACCGATTCTGTGAAAACGCACCTTAAAGAGCACTGTCTTCTCTGTGGTCAATGGGGTTCGAGGTTAAAGCAGCATCTGCGGCAAATGCACAAGGACGCATGGGCATTGCGAGCAACAGCTGACTCATTGTGCAGCAGTGCCGGCTTTACAGCTACCGATCCTTGTAGCTACTGCGGATTATCCAATCGTAACCCACGACGCCACAACCTCAGTTGCATTGTTCTCTTCCAGACGGCTCTTGCTAAATCCCTGCTTGAACAAGGCCAGCATGAGCGGGGACCTGGCCATGGAGGACGCCCTGGCGGAGCATGCCCGGGAGGAGCTGGCGACGGTTCTTGGCCAGAAGGAGACCGACATGGAGCGGGAGACCGGGAAGTCTCCGCAGAAGGAGCTGGAGGAGGACGGAGAGCGCCGCCCCAAGTGGCAGAGAGAAAACAACAAAGGGGGCAAAGGACAATCCTCCAATTCTTGGGAGGGATGGCGCACGGGAAAGAGGCAGTGGGAGCGTGGCCAGCAGAAGGAGAGCGGGGAGACGGCCACGGAGGACAATCACCAGACCAAGGAGCTCCTCAAGTGCCTCGTGAAGATGTCGGTCCGGCACGAGCAGGAGCTGATGCGCATCAGGCCAGATGTGGGGTTCATAGCATTCTGCGATACCTCAGACCTCGGATGCATGCACCTGCTGAAGACCGTCGCAAAGAGCTGGTCGGACCTCTACACGCAGGGGAAGGTGACCTCCTCTCTCAAGGTCATAATGGCAATGGCCATGATGAAGGATATCCGCGAGCGGGCGGAGAAGGCACTCCAGGACGAGGAGCAGCTCCAACGCTGCTTCAACGTTGGCTGGGTGCAGCAGGGAGCCACGGCGCTGGATCCAGTGTGGGTGTACCACACGTGGAATGCCAAGGAGAAGAAACAAGAGGTGGCAGAGACGCCACCCCTGAAGCACTCGGAGGTGATGAGGCTCCTGGACCTACTGATCGAGCACCTCCCGCGGGAGGGTGTGCTCACCCGCTTCGCTTCCACAAAGCGGCTGGATCTGATGCAGGAGTTCAAGACGGAGGTGGTCCCGATGATGCTGCAGCTAAGCCTGAGGGGGAACTCAAGCCAGCTATGCTACGACGCTCTGAAGGCCTTGAGCGGGAATGCGGTCATGAAGCTCCAGGGAGTGCGCTGGAGGCCGGAGAGGGCTCAGAAGCCTCCATTGGCCAAAGCTCTGGAGGAGGCCTATTTGGCAACCGCTTTCTGCGATTGGGCGCCGAGAGACCAGCAGTCGTGGGCGCGCCGGTCGTCCTAGGTGGACTTCCGGTGGGAGCGGCGCAACAGGGGGCGCTGCTCCGAGCCCGTGGGGCACTTAAGCCCTTTACTGCGAAGCTGCGTAACCAATCAAATGTCTGTTATGCCAACAGTGTACTTCAGGCGGTGCTATGGATCGTGGAGCTCACCGGTGTTGCGGTGGGAAGGCTGAAGGCCGGCCTACGCATTATGCGCTCTTCGCAAGCAGTGCACCTTCTTGAAAGCCTCGCATTCCGGTGGATGTTTGATTCTTGGCACGGTGTGCATCAGCAGCACGACGCAGGAGAGTTTTTGGCTCATTGCCTTCGGAATGCACAGGCTGAGGCGTGGGAAGTTTGCTGGGAGGCACGCCTCTCTAATCCTGCGCGTGTCACTGACGGAGGCACGCTGCTCCAAGCTCTTCCACTGCCGATTGCAGGCACGACACTGCAAGCCATCATAGATAGTTGGGGTAGCCAGTACTCTGTGCATGCAATAGTTTCGCACTCTGATGTCCTTTTTATTCAGCTTGAGCGTTATGCACTCGGTGCTGCCAAAAACCGTTCCCCGATACGTGTGCGACCAGGCGACCGGCTGGCGGTACCAGTGTTTGAGGGGCCAAACGGCCTGGACCTTCGGCATGAGTCCTTTCAGATAGCGGTTATAGTGTATCACTTAGGGGATACGGTTCTTAGTGGGCATTACCTCACTCTGCAAGGCCTCCCGAAGGCTGACGAAAACTGGGATTATCTTGTCTGTGACGATAATAAAGCCCCGCGGCCCGCCAAACCCGGAGACCTGAAGAATGTTGATCAGAATGCCTATCTGATCGGACTTGTGCGCAGCCGGTAGCTCTGTCTTGGGCCGGCAGGGAGCCCGCACATTTCCCTGCAACATAAGAGCTGTGGCTAAACGCCGAAGTGCGTGTTCCATGCAGCCACAAAAGCGTGTTCTCGTTAATGTCATATCCTTTTGAATTTTAGCGTCCTTGACTGTCAGTCTCCAAACCGCCACTGCTGCCGCAGCTGGCTTGACAGGAGCGGTAGAGCCTAGGTCGGCTCACTGCTGTGCTGGGTGCACAGCTATCCGTTCGTCACTGCACGGACCTTAGTGCCTCTTCACAGATGACTGCTGAGTGAGAGATTCGCAGCTGTTTAGGGTTCTAGGGTTCGTCGTAGGTAGGCGTTCCCCACGTGCCTGGGTCGGCACAATACGGGATCATGACTCGCAGTGTCGCACTGCCTGATCACATGAAGGTTGTGGCCGATGAAGAACTGGAGCTGCTCCGCTGCCTACGTTCCTTTCTGCCTGTGCACAAGCACCAACCCTCCTTCACATTGCTGACCAGAAATGAACTGGTGACGGTGGCGCGTGAGCTGCTTGATGACGAGTCGTGGTCAGTCTTCAATGGTGTCGCATCGCGGGGGAGCGAGGGACAGGAGGCGGAGGTGTTCGTCTCTTTTCCACCGCCGTGTTACCGTGACATCACGACCGCCTCAGAGGCTGAGAAGGTGGCGGAAATGTGCCTGCGGGAAGGTTCAGGCTCACTCTGGTCCTCGGCCAGGGAGGTACTCCGCTGTCTTTGCTTCGAGGAGGATCCACGTGATATTGCCAATGGTCAGGTCTTCCGCATGGGTCTTTACTGTAAAGGCGGGATACTTGGAGTGGCTAAGCAATCGTGGAATCATGTTGCGGCCGCCAGACTGCTGAATGCTGCGGTGTTGGCCACCTGCAGGGATCATCACTGGACAAGCCTCAGTGTTAACCTGAACAACAAGGCTTCTTTGCACGTGGATAAGAACAATGCCCCGGGCCATAGTGTGCTCGTTGGGTTCACCAATCATCGTGAGGGAGAGCTTTTCGTGGAGGATCGCCTGGGCGGGCGCCTGGTTCAGGAGGGCACTGTTCGACTGCGTGGTAGTGTCTTTGACACTCGCGCCTCCGCTGTGATCTTCGATGGGCGCAACCTCATCCACTGCACGCTTCCCTGGCAGGATTGTCGATGCATAGTGGTTGCTTACACAGTGGGACCTCATCACAGCATGACCCTCGAGCAACGGTGCCACCTGGAGGATGCAGGGTTTGTTCCACCACCTCCTGCTACGGACCAGCCTGTGCCAGCAGTAGATCCTGGCCAGTGTCGCATGGAACAATTCTTTCATCGCGGGCCTGGCTAGACTCACCAAGCTACTACCTGAGCACTCCCCCCTCCCCCTCTTTTAGGAGGTTGCTCGGTTGACTGTGCCCCCTCTCGGTTGTTTCTGTGCTAGGACGGTTTTGATTAGTGCTCTGCCACTGCGCGAGTGGCCCAAGGCCAATGTTGCACAGCCAGCAACAAGTTTGACCGCATTTCAAGCGAACCGATGCTGATTGCCTGACGTCTCAAAAGCAATCACTTCGTGCTAGATTGCCGGCACACCGTGGTATCATTGTAGCCGAGCTTTCTGCCCGCTCACTCAGGTCATGGCCCGCCACCGTCGTACCTCGGCGAGTGGCTCAGCTGCTGGTGCTGGCAATTTTGCTAGCGCATCTGCGAGCTATGCAGTGGGTCGCAGCAGGCAATGTCGGACGAGTGGCTGCGTGCGTGAGTACAGGAAGACTCGTCACTCACACTGCTGCTCGATTTGCTCGGTGGGCAGGCATACAGCACGCTGCGATGCAGAGTGGGATAATTTTCAGCATCGACGAATGCGAGCCCAGCGTCGTGCCCTTCGTAGCAGTCTTACAGTCTGTATGCTTCCTGGATGTGGTCGGGCTGCTGGACTGGGACATACCCACTGTTGCGCGCTTTGCTCTATCAGTGATGGGAGAGAACACACGGGGCAATGCACCAATCGGCAGCAGTATGTGCACGTACAGGGCGCGGGGGTTTCGGCTACTGGGGCTCCTGTAGACGTGGCGACAGTGCACAACTCAGCGGCAGGAAGCAGCACCGATCAGCCGGCGAATGCTACTGCTGAAGCTCCCCTTTCAGTGGTGCATTCAGCGGAGAATGATGATGGGGCGGCCATCTATGTCCTGGATTCCGATGAGGAGGCAGATTTGGCCGAAGCTGTTGCTGCCAGCTTGGTGGAGTTGCAGGCAAGACAAGCCCAGCAGGATGCTCTACGTTCGCTCAATTTTGAGGAGATGGACTAGTCCTTGATGCTCCGAAGTTCTTTAGGATTCGATTTACGGAGAGGGAGCTAAGACGCTCCTCTGCTAGCTGGAGCACCAAAACGGTGTGCCGTCATGAACGGCCGGAGGCAATGCTTCTGTCCTGCCCTCGTCATGCACTCGGATCTTGTGCGACGGTTCAATGCAATACTACTACTACTACTACTACTACTACTACTACCCGCAGCAGTAGCAGCAGCAGCAGGTGTAGTAGTAGT